GGAATTAATCGTGGACCATTAATTGCTAATTTGTTGAATTTTAAAAAATTAAATATGACTAATATCATATTCAGTTGGGCGGGAATTAATCGTGGACCATTAATTGCTAATTTGTTGAATTTTAAAAAATTAAATATGACTAATATCATATAAAAGTTGTAAAACCACTAATATCATAACAAAATAGGTTAATATGAGTAATACAACTCTAATCATACCTCAAATAGTTTCTATTTACATATAACTTCTTCAAGGTGTTAAAATTTCATCTGGTTCTACTACTTCACTAATTATGTATATAGGGATTAATCGCTAGGCACTCTCTAATCAGTCGACTAGCGCCTAGGGATTAATCGGGACCTAGTCGGGATTTTTACAACACTTGTTAAAATATGATCTAGAACAATGAAAAGAGAAATTAAATGACTAATCTTACTAAATTAATTGAATGAGATGATCTACAGCCTTCAGATCTTCAGGAATTGATGAAAAAGTGTAGAGATCACATCCAAAAGTCGTCTCTGGTCGTTTGAGAACGTCTAGGGTTTAAACTGATCAAATAGGGAGTCTTTATATACGATCAAACAATAAAAACACGTTTTTTTTAAAAACATGATCGTGTTTTAAGGAAAAACACCATAGTGTTTTTGCACAAAACTCTCGAAAATCCCTGTTTTTCGCGTTTAATGAAGTGCGATGCTATTTTGTACACTTTTCTCAAAACAGAATCGTGCTTTATGGAAAAGCATGATCATGTATGTCCTTCGAACTCCTGAAACTTGATTTTTGGCTTGAAAAAGTTGCGTAAGAGAAGCACGATCACATATCCAAAAACACAATTGTGTAAACTCAAAAACGCACGCTTCGTACGCGAACTCTTCAGTTTCAGCAAATCTAATCCAACTTCCAGCTTCCTCAGGTGTTTTAGCTCCTTTAACCTCTAAATATGCATCCAAGTTACTTCTAAAGTACCGCTCCACTCGAAATATCTGAAAATTACATAAAAACATGAGTAGTACGTGAATTTTGACAAAATACATGAGCTGAACATCATTTAAACTAATTCACACACAAATGCCTAAAATATGATATAAAATGCAAATAAAAGCTACTATAAAAGAGGCATAAAATAACATCTATCAGGTCGCGACTATTCTGTCGTGGAGCTGCCACAACGTGACCAGTGGGTGGTTACGACGTGATAGCTAGCTGTTGACTTTCACCATTGACTTTTTGACAAAGTTGACTTTTGGTCAACTTGATGGTTTTTAGGGTGTAGACTTAGAGGGTACTTCTATATTGTTGGTTAGGTGATTCTGTAACACTCCAAATCAGGTATTACTCGTTAGGCCCTTGAAAAGGGAAAAGATGGCATAAAAGGTCCCTTATTACGCGGGGCGTACTCCAGGAGTACGCTTAGCGTAATAAGAATGCATGATCACGGAGGTTGGCCGTGTACGCAGGGCGTACGTGGAGGTACGCGGGGCATACGCGACAGAGAGCCAAAACCCTAATTCTCAGACTTGACACATATTTAAACATCCTTAAGCCTCTTGGACAAAACCCTAGTCAGCCTCCCTAGTCTTATTTCGCCCTTCTACACCAGAGATACTTTGTGAGAGTGTTTTTGAGCTTAAGGAGTGTATTTGTGGCCATTTTAGTGTTCATTCAAGAAGAAGGAGTTGCTAAGCAAGCTTGGATGTAAGACCATGTGGATAGCCCATGACACTTAGATGTAAGACCATGTGGATAACCCATGGCTTTCCTACTAAAGACCATGGGAGAACCCATGGCAACCGGATGTAAGACCATGTGTAGAGCCCATGGATTTCCTATTAAATACCATGGGAGAGCCCATGACACTTAGGTGTAAGACCATGTGGGGAGCCCATGACATCCTGGAGTAAGACCCTGGGGACGAGCCCATGGCATCCATATATGTTGTATGCATGACTAATGTGATATATGTAGCTCTTATAGCTAATATGATATGGGTTATGTGGATTGTGTGTGGGTATGCTCTGGGGAACTCACTAAGCATTAGCTTACAATTTGTGGATTTGTTTCAGGTACATCTGAGCCAAAGGGCAAGGGCAAGGTTTGATGACGCGGCATGCACTCTTCGGCATATGTTTTGATGGGACACTCTGATATTTAAAATCAAATGTTTATATTATGGATATTTGAAAACAAGTGTCATTTATATTTCATTTGTTATGGAAATGATTTGGTTAATTAAAAATGAAAATTTTCTTTTGAAAATTGGGTCGTTACAAGTTGGTATCAGAGCCTTGGTTTGAGGGATTCGGGCACACTCTTGGGTGTGTCAGGACTCAAACTAAGGAAATGATACAATTTCTTTCAAAAAAATAAAAGTTCAAAATTTCTTGAACTGGAAATGAGGAGAGTGCAATGCGTGTGATCGGCCGAGCAAAGTAAGTAGTTCCCCAATATGTTTTCCATGTTATAATGATATTTGAGCTATGATAATCGTATGGATCTTGCTATGTGTATGTTTTTAAAATTGTATACGGTTAGGAGCTTATAGCCTTAGAATGATTGATTTGGCCTTATTTCCTGTTCCTTGTCTGGTTGTGGTCCTAGGGTAGAATCTCATATTCGAAAGTCTATTTGATCCTTTTCTGTGTATAATTTGCATGCATAAAGGCAACCTGTTTGTTGGATTAATGTCTAAGTCCATAACTATAATTGGTAAGACTTGACCCGACCCGGCATGGTCCA